AAAACTTTTCGACATATTCTAATCCCACCATTAACTTATATCTTTAATTTATGTTTCGCGAACGGAATGTTCCCTAATTATTAAAAAAATCCATAATTCACCTCATATATAAATCTGGAGATAGAGACCGTGTGAATAATTTTAGGCCTATTTCTATACTTCCTTCTATTTCAAAAGTATTGGAAAATCTTATTAATATCAGACTTGTAAAATACCTAGAGAACTTTAATATTCTATCAAACTGTCAATACGGGTTTAGATCCGGAAAATCTACCAATGATGCAGTACACGAATTAACCGATAATATCATCAAAAATCTAGACAAAGGCGGCGTTCGACACGGTCTCTATTCCCGTTCTGCTAAGGAAACTTGAAAAAATTGGTATACGGGGTACACAACTAAAATTATTTGAAAGCTATCTAACTGGAAGACTACAATGTGTTACAATAAATAACCAATGTAGTTCTGATGTACCTGTTAGCTATGGAGTTCCTCAGGGGAGTATTCTGGGCCCAATTCTATTTCTCGTCTACATAAATGACCTCTTAAAACTTAAATCCTTCCATGGCAAAATCATATCATATGCTGATGACACAGCACTCCTATTCTCAGCAAGTACATGGAAGGAGGCTTTTGATAACGCTCAAACTGGAATTGATGTTGTCTCAGTATGGTTACGTAGTAACCACCTATCTCTTAATATTGAAAAAACTAAATATATTACCTTTTCCATGACAAGTGATCCTCAATCAACTATCAACTATAAGTTAACTGCTCACATTTGTTTAAATTTAATAAAACATTTAGGATTACCGTGTACCTGCCCATATTTATCCAAAACCAACTGTGTTAAGTATTTAGGTATTCTTATTGATAATCAACTGAATTTTAAAGATCATTTAGAGGTTTTAACGTCCCGAGTTCGAAAACTTATTTATGTCTTTAAAATTCTGAGGCATGTAGCTAAACCTGAGCTAGTGAAACAAATATACACTGCATTGTGTCAATCTATTATAACTTACGGTATAACAATATGGGGCGGAGCCCCAAAAACTACATTAGCTCCACTGGAAAGAGCTCAGAGAGCTGTTTTAAAGGTTTGTACTTTTCTACCCATTCTCTATCCAACATATGAACTATATGAACACTGCCAAGTATTAACAGTCCGACAATTATACATTTATCTGACGATTTTAAAGCAACATGGGTTATTAAATTTTATCTCATCTCAATTAATAAAGAGAAGATCCGACAAAGTGTGCCTTACTGCTACCTTTAAACGATGGTATGCACATAAATATTTTTGTTTCCTTGGTCCATTCTTGTACAATAAAATAAATAAGCAACTAAATTTATACATTTTAAATAAGAATCAATGTAAAAAACACTATTCAAATGGCTTCAAAAACTAGATTATGATGAAACAGAAGTATTATTTAAAATCCCTTTTAATTGAAATACTCGTAACTGATTTACTTCTAAAACGTATAATTAATATACCATTAAATTATATTTTCTTATTATAATTATTACTTTAATGTATACTACTCACCCTCTCCCTTGCATACACACTAAAATACACACACACACCAACACACACACACACACACACACACACACACACACACACACACACACACACACACCCACACACACACACACACACACACACACACACACACCACCACCCTAACACACACACACACACACACACACACACACACCAACACACAAACCACCACACACACACACCACACACACACACACACACATAAAACACACACACACACACACACACACACACACACACACACACACACACACACACACACACACACACACACACAACACACACACACACACACACACACACACACACACACACACACACACACACACACACACACACACACAAATACAGATGAATTAAGAACCTCATCCTTTTTTTGAAGTCGGTTAAAAATAAAACAGATTTTATAAATAATATATAAAGTTTTTATTTTCATTTTAAGTTAAGGGCTGTATCCCTTCCATAAAAACGTCTTTGCTTGTGGAAGGAGCTTCCATGGAAACATCACTTCCCCGTCTTCGCTGGAATCTGATTCCTCCTCAGACTCGGTATCTGGTTCATCGTCACTGACATGGATTATAAATTCGTCCGTCAATCTATCAACGACAACGTCACTTTTTTTGTACTCTTCCTCTATCTTGATCACTTTTCGGCACAATGCCCTCCATACATTTTCCCCTATTTCATTAACTTTTTGCTGGACCAATTCCATGACTGAATTTACGTTCCAGTTAACGTTTTTTTTTTGCTACGTATTGTTTTATTGCTGCCCATGCCATCTCGATGGGGTTTAAATCGGGGTGGTAAGGGGGGAGGCGTAAAACTAAGTGGTTATTCTCTTTCAATATTTTATCGATGTTAAATTTTTTGAAGCGTTCTTTATTCTCCGCAATTAACTTGTATAGTTGTGGCTTCAGCATTGTTTCCTCAAATTCAATATTTTTTTCACGAAGCCATGATTGCATGTCTGCTTTTCTTGAGTTTGAGGTAGGTGCAGGATCTTCTTGTTTGTTGTGATAAGAAGCATTATCTACAACAACGACTGAATTTGCTGGCAAATTTGGAACGAGTTGATTCTTGATCCATTTTTCATAATTTTCATAATTCATGTTATCATGATAGTCGCCGGTTTTAGTACCCGCCTTAAACATTAAAAGTGCGTTGGGTACAAAACCGGTTTCAGAACCCGCGTGCACTATTACAACTCTTTGACCCTTCGAAATTTTCTTTTTAACTCCCATTTGTGACCCATCTCCCCAAGCCTTTGACATGCTGTGGGAAGAATCGACATAAGACTCGTCGGTATATATAATGGGTCTGCCTTCCGAGCGATATTTTGTAATACTATGCAGATATTCAATGCGCTGTAAACGAATATTAGACTGCTCTATTAATACTTTTCTCTCATTTTGGATGTTCTTCCATTGAAACCCTAATTGTTTCAATATTCGGCCTAAGCTGGTTACAGAACCGTTGAAATTTTTTTTTTTTGTTTTTCAGTCACGTGAAAGTTGTGCACGCACCTTTTGATGACATCTTGGTCGAAGCTGTCAATATTCGTCACTCTCTTGACTCCCTTCCTTTTTTTGCCAGGAGTACGAAAGACGGCTAGCATCTCCGACTCATTTGCTGTTGCAGCTATTCTTTGTACAGTCCTTAGTGAGACGCCTGTAGCTGCTGCGGCTCGTTTTTGAACGAGCTTCAGAGGAATTTGGACGCCGTCTTCACTCTCCTTTTTCATAAATTGCACGACATTATACACCATTTTTCTGGCTTGCCTGCGTAAAACGTTGTATCGTCCGCGAGGCATATTTAAACAAAATAATAAAAGTACTTTCCCACAACCAACAACAGTCTAAAACTAAATGTGTGTTACACAGATGAAAACAAAACAGTCAATAACAATAAAAACTTAACGGAACAAAAACAAACAAAAAAACGTAACAAAACAATTAACAAAGAGTAACAAATTATGGGCTCAACTGTATGTAAGCAGGAGTGTACGTAACTCAAACACTAAAAGCAAACGCGTCGCGTGAGTGCGTATGAGACAGAGGGCACGCGGCAGCGCGCGCGGGGATGTGCCCCGCCACCACGTCCCTCTACATCCCGCTGATACCCAAAAATTGTGTTCTGCGCATCGGAACGTACGATGTTCCGAGCCGCCATTAAGTTTGAACAAATGTATACCTATATTTACATGTTTATTACTTGCTACTAGCTCACTGTTTGAGTTGATACTAGGACAATGGAAGGCATTCTATTATGTACTATAAGGCGCGCTATTTAATCGCTCAATATTTATTTGATATTTCTTTTTAAAATGATATGTACTCTTTTATTGAAAAATAAATTTATAATTAACTTACGTATTAACTGGTGAACGCATAGCCTAAATTTATTTGAAATTGATTTCATTACATTCGAATGAAACTGCTTTTTCACTTAATGAACGTGTCTAAAATTGTAGATTTTGAGGAAATTTTTTTCTATCGAGCCAAAATGTGTCAATCGTGTTGTGGCTACCATAGTTTACTAAGAAATGCTTTCATAATGATTTAAAGAAAATGTGAATTCGTAGTTTTTAATGACAAAAAATTGATTTTTTGCGCACATATAAAGCGTAAAAAGTCTGATTTTTGCGCCCACTTCACCTTAATTCGGCAAGATGACTCCAAGCATCTGCCACTCTCTTTTTATCTTTACGATTGAAATATTTTGAATCCAGATATTCCACAGAGTATTAATATCCCATGCAGAGCTCTCCGTAGAGTATTTCGTAGAGGAGCACTTTGCTACAATTGCCACGCTTTACAGGCGAGGCTCGATTACGAATCAAAATGCAGATGCGTTGTCACCCGTGAGGACTAAGATGGAATGCCTCGTTTCCAGTTAAAAAAGTCTCGGAATCTCTACACTCACCATACGGAACACAGTAGCAATAAGCTACTATTTCACGCTGGTATTCTGTGAGAGCGTGGTCCTTCTCCGGTCGAGCCGACCCACTCGTGCTACAACCACAACAGCTGCAGCGTGGCGCTACCACATGACACGGATGAACACATCAATAAGACGCTGCTGCTCATGTAGTGTTTAATTCCTGTCACTGGTCACGCACGGTCACTCTGGTAATATTAAAGAAACGATACAGTTTCCTCGTTCAACCAGCTACTTATTTTGCGATCGCGGATTTGCAACAAAGCTAAATGTAAACGCGTATCAACGTGCAAATGAATCGCAAACACCCTTTGGTTTGTTTTCAAAGACCGACACTCGGCCGGAATGACCACAAGCTTCTCTAAGTTATGGCTGGTAATATTTAAAAATATAACTTGAGCGGTGGAAGTTATCCGTCCGCCACCTTCACGCATTACTCCTTGCTATCAAGCGGAATGCCGTAAAGCACTGGCTGGTAGCAAAACATAATACCTTGAGCGGTGGAAGTTCCCCGTCTGCCACTTTGACGTCGGTATCAAGTTCGCAACGTCCACGGCGGTGGCAGTGCGCGGCGCAGCGGTAGTGCTGGCAGCGCTCGCCGGCGTACAGCGGGCCGCAGCGGCACGCAGGCGCGGCGCCGCGCAGCACGCACTCGCCCGCGCCGCACTGCAGCGTGCACGCACCCGCGCTCCCGTTGCCGCTGCGGGACGACGATATTACGCACTCGCGCTCCTCCTGCGACAAACAACATAGCACACACATTGAACTAATAAATATGTACTACCTGCTAATCATGAACAAAATTTGTGCGGCAGTGCGGGCCGCGTATTACAGGCACAGAGCAACTTTTTATAGCACATATTGAGTAATTATCTAATTATTATATTAATATTAAGTAATTATTTAGTTGTTTGCAACATGTGTTAGAGCCCGCAGGCTCGAACAACAAGAGCGCGATTCAGCAACACAATTTCATGATTTAATTTCTCTCAGGCGATAACTTATAAAATGTTCAGAAAGTTGTACCATGAAGCTTCGTGAAAGTCAGCCGCGGTTCCGTGGGTGGGTTAAGTAGCGATAGCCTCCCACACACGTTGAAAAAAAAACTTAAGTGAAGCTCAACAAGTTCTGAGACACTATAAAAAGTAACAATTTTTACAATGTAGTAATTTATTAACAATGGCATCACCTACAGAACAGGACAACAGATTTATCAAGTTTTAAACGTTTGATCCCTGTTAATTTTTATTAACTAAGCTTGATAATAGATATTAATAGCAAACTACTAAAAACCAATAACGATTATTTTGACGTAAAAAATATAATGAACTCATTTACGTCCAATCCATCAATTTTAATAAAACAAGCAAAAGTAATAATTATTTTGTCAGAATCTAACGCGACTGAGTACACACATGAACTCGCGTCAGCTCCACAAAAACAATACTACAGCGTTTACTGTAGAGACGAACTTAAAGGGATCATTCATTTAAATTATAGAATGGCATTTTATAAAATAAACAGAAAATGTTTGTTAGTGTATTTATTAGCAAATATACCAAAGATACAGGTTTATATAATGATTTCTTATATTTACGCGAACACTACACATTGAAATAATACTAGTTTTTACGGATTTTATCGCGTATATATTTAATTATAAATACCCGACGTTTCGAGCGCTTTACAGCAACCATGGTCACGGTGAGGACTGTAAAGCGCTCGAAACGTCGGGTATTTATAGTTAAATATACGCGATAAAATCCGTAAAAACTAGTATTATTTCAATATACAGGTTTATTATTGTTCAGGTATTTGTTATAGTAGACTATTTTTAGATTCAGGCATTTTTTAAATTTATTGAAATAAAAATATATTAAATAAAATATAAATACGAATGCAGTCTACACGTGGCAGGAGTGAAACCTTCAGAAAATTTGCCTTCAAAAAAAAAACAAAAAAAAAAAGAATGAGTCAATCTATTTTCTAGATTTAAGATAAACCTTGTGAAAGCAATAAACTTCTTATTCTTTATCACTTTTTCTTTCATTCTATGAGTAGTCATTTCATCAAACAAAACTATACTCTTCGATGTAAAACATTTCATATCTTACCTTCATATGAGCGAAGAAATATTGCAGATCTCTCTTTCCTCTCTAAAATTGTTAATGGTGTTGTTGATTGCCCTGAACTACTGGGTAAAATAGGTTTACGTACCTCATCATCCAACTTGCGGAAACATACACTTTTATCGATACCATACGCGAAAAGTAATTATAGACAAAACTCTTTTATTATTCCATCATGCAAATCTTTTAATGCTACAGCACACATTCACAACGTGGATATTGACTTATTTAATTCTAGCGTTCCCCAACTTAGGCGATCACTTTCTAACAATTTCTTTTCTTCTCGATAGTGTACTGTTACTTGCCATATACTTGTACATATCTGTTTTGACACAATCTTGTTTATTATAAAGTATTACATACGTGAAAACTTGTAAATGGCCTTCATTTTTGTTATAATTATATTATTTTTGTAAATTAGCTGTAAGTTTTCCAAGTAAATAATTAAAAAAAATTGATGGACTGTCAATGTGGTACGTAAAATAGACGCTGGATGGCCTAAACACGACTAATTTAATATAAATCGGTAAGTTATGGCATCGTATATTGTTGTGAATAGGTTAAATTAAATATAAGCACAGACCTCCTCACATTTCTGAGAGGGTTTTAGGGCACAGAAATGTCTGCCGCGCTGCCAAATGCGTGTTGGCGGACTGCACATGTTTTCGAATTATTTTTGAAGTGAAAATTTCTTTCAAATCGTTGTGATTTAAAACTCGAGGAAACGAGAAATAGATAAATATATACAATGTATATGTTTGTCTCTTTTTAGTGTCACTTTTTCGTCATCAATCACAACGATTTTAAAGAAGTTTTGAGTTCAATAAAATAGAAAGCAGGTACTGACGTCGGTGTGGTTCCCGCTGGGCACGAGTCCGTCGGGGCAGAGGCAGGCGACCGCCGCGCCGCCGCCCGCGCCGCCGCCGCGCCGCGCGCACGCACAGCGCACTCGCGCGGCACGCGCCCGCACCGTCCCCGCGCACGCACGGGTCCGAGCCTACGTGCAACAAATTCATCACAATATACATTTCATTATACAATAAGAGTGACAAACCAGTACACAGTCCATCTAATCATAAGTAGATGCTTTGTGGTCAATAGACTTCTACGTTTATTCGCAATTAAGAATCCAAAATACAGATGCTTTATCACCCTTGAAGAGTAAGATGAAATACCTCGCTTCGAGTAAAAAAGTATCTCTAGTTCAAAAATATCACTAGAATCTGTTCACAGTTGGATAAGATATCACAAACGAACATACAAAAGAAACAGTTGGATTGTGAGCATCCTCCTTTTTTAAACTTAGCAAAAAACGAAACAATCAAATAAAAATATTATTAAGGGCCTATACTACCTCAGCTCAAATTCCAATTTAGCCTCTACTTTCCCACGCCACTCGTTCGCACACATAGTGTGCGTGGCTCGAGTTCACGCGGGAACACGAGGCCAAAGCGATTTTGTTAGAGTAGAAAGTGTCTTCAAAAATCACTAGAATCTGTTCACAGTTAGATAAGATATCGCAAACAAACAAACATACAAAAGATAAGCTTCCTTCTTTTTCGAACTTCGCAAAAAACGAAACAATCAAACTAAAATATTATTAAATAAAATATTTCTCATACAAAATATAGTTTAAGTTAAAATACCATACGGTTGGCTGAATAAGTTTTCCAAAATGATTGCATAATTCATCTTCATTAGGTAATATGAGTATTTTATCTTGGAATATTTATTTATTGCCCATAGCAAATATATTATAGTATTCTTAAAGTGCCACATATTCTCCAGTAGCAATAGCGGGTGCAGCAGCGCGGCGCGGTCTCCGCGGAAGTGTACTCACCCGCGGGGAACAGCAGCGGGTGCAGTAGCGCGGCGCTGACTCCGCGGACGTGTACTCACCCGCGGGGAACAGCAGCGGGTGCAGCAGCGCGGCGCGGACTCCGCGGACGTGTACTCACCCGTGGGGAACAGCAGCGGGTGCAGCAGCGCGGCGCGGACTCCGCGGACGTGTACTCACCCGCGGGGAACAGCAGCGGGTGCAGCAGCGCGGCGCGGACTCCGCGGACGTGTACTCACCCGCGGGGAACAGCAGCGGGTGCAGCAGCGCGGCGCGGACTCCGCGGACGTGTACTCACCCGCGGGGAACAGCAGCGGGTGCAGCAGCGCGGCGCGGACTCCGCGGACGTGTACTCACCCGCGGGGGAACAGTAGCGGGTGCAGCAGCGCGGCGCTGACTCCGCGGACGTGTACTCACCCGCGGGGAACAGCAGCGGGTGCAGTAGCGCGGCGCTGACTCCGCGGACGTGTACTCACCCGCGGGGAACAGCAGCGGGTGCAGCAGCGCGGCGCAGACTCCGCGGACGTGTACTCACCCGCGGGGAACAGCAGCGGGTGCAGCAGCGCGGCGCGGACTCCGCGGACGTGTACTCACCCGCGGCGTTAGGTTAAGTACACTTATTCTACAGCTGTGTGTAATTTCTGTGTTCGTTTGGATTTTTAACTACTTCAAACTATTTTTAAACTGTAAGTACTTTCGTTATATTTAGTGTTAATTTAAATAATAAGAAGTGAACTAGAATATAGGTTAGATTGTGTCGGTGTTGTTTGACACTGACAGCTGTCATTGTATAAGACACTGACAGTGACGTTGGCAGCTGTCACTGTGGGTGACATTTCATTGACAGTGACATTGACAGGGTGACCTGTCATTATTATATTTCGTTATATTTCGTTAAGTTGCGTTCCTTTTTACTATATTTAGTGGACTAGTGCCAAACTAAAATGGCGGACGACGACGAGGGCTTTACGCCCCGGAAGTCCTTGACCAGGACCCCGCCGGGACCACTCGGCCGGCCGGTTGCGGTGCCCCCCCCACCGCCAGTAGTGCCGGAGAAGCGGCCACTGGCGTCTCCGGAAGAGACGCAGGCGTCTTCCCAGCGGCCAAGGGTGGGCAAGCGCACTGAGTCGCGCCGGAGTGTGGCACCGGTGGCAGGACTTCTGACCAGGAACATTGAAGAATCTGCTCCAGAAACAGAGGAAGAGGATTGCTCAAGGGATGCAACTCGGGGTGTGAGGGGGAGCTTCAAAGCTACCACTGCTTCGAAGCTGGAAGTTATCGACCAGGTGCGGGAGGCGGTGAGAGGAATAATGTGCATAGTTACAGGACCCGGCTCAAAATTGAACAAGGCGGAGGTGAACAAGATTTCATCATACGCACATGACCTCATCGCCATGGTGGCGACCATGGAGGTTCACATCTCTGAGCTGGAGCTGGCCAGATTAAGAGCGGAGAAGGAGAAGCTCGTCGCAGAAGGAAGGCTGGCGCAGGTCGAGGCCGGAACAGTTCCCTGCCACGCGACGGACCCGACACCGCAGCGCTCGTACTCGGCTGCACTGAGGCTTCCTAAGGGAGCAGACCAGGTGCTGATGCCTGTGAGCAAGGGCCCGGTGGTTGCCTTTTACCCGGCTGAAGCTGAAGGTCCAATAAAGACTGCGGGGACACAAAGTCGGTATTGAAGAAGGCGGTGAATCCGAAGACCAGCGGTCTGCAAATAGACCGGTTAAGAAAGGTGGGGAATGCAGGTGTTGTGGTCCAAACCACGTCCCAAGAGGCCGCCGAAAAACTGAAAACTGCAGCCCCTCCATCACTGAGGGTGTCTGAGCCCAGGCAGCGCCTTCCCCTGGTTGCCCTCAGGGGTTTCGAGGAGGACCCCAAGAACGAGGAGGTATTGAGCGGCCTCTACGAGCAAAATCTTGCTGCTTGTGGCTGGAGTGAGAAGAAGGTGAAGGAAGAGTGCAAGGTCGCCTTCAAAAAATCGTGGCGAGGAAGCAGGCGCACCACTGTTGTACTTCAGTGTTCGGCGGCATTAAGGGACGTGCTGGTGGGGCACAATCGCCTCTACATTGGCTGGGACGTGGTGGAGCCCTGTGACTACGTAGATGTCACGTGCTGCCAGAGGTGCCAGCAATACGGGCATCCATCAAAATACTGCAGGTCTAAGGAAATTGTGTGTGGCAAGTGTGGGGAGACGGGACACGAGCGTGGGACCTGTCAAGCAAAGGAAGAAAAGTGCGCTACCTGCAAGAGATTTGGCCGGCCTGACTCTGGTACGCACGTGACCATGGCGAGGAACTGTCCAGCAAGACTGTATGCAGAGCAACGCTCCGTGGCCACCACGCAATACTGCCGATAAGGGCATGTCCACGGATACACGAGATCGAATCATTAAAATGGGGCAGATCAACTTGGGTCGGGGGGAGCTAGCCACGGCTGAGTTGCCTATTCTGGCGCGTGAACTGCACCTGGACATTGTTCTTATACAAGAACAGTACTCCCAGGCTGCAGGAATCGTCCAGGTGGGTGGTCACCCGTGGGCTGGCATCTATCTTGCCGACCCAACTATTGGAGTAGCTCTGCTGAGCCACCTCAGCAACGAGTTCTGTGTGGTGTGCCACGTAAACCGATGGGACCTCTATGTGGTGTCAGCGTACTTTAAATACAGTGACACCATTGATGACCACCTGCACCACTTGGAGGTCACCCTGAGTTGCCTAAAGGGCAGAAGGGTCATCGTCGGCCTCGACGCAAATGCGCACTCGCCACTCTGGCACTGCGATCGCCGACACTACGTGGGACGAGGACATACTGCAGAACACCGGAGGCAGCAAGTGGAGGCGTTCATACTTTCGCAGGCACTAAGGTTGGCGAACCAGCCTGACCAGCCCTATACCTTCTCTGGGCCAGGTGGAGAATCTAATGTGGACCTCACATTATCGGCTGGGGACATATACCTTGCTGAGTGGCGAGTGCATGAGGGAATCTGCGCCAGCGATCATAATTTAATAACATACACGGCCACTACCAGCAGGCCGACTACTTGCGCTGCACCCGTCAGGGATCCCCCGCGTTTTCGTGACCGGGGGGTGGATTGGGACAGGTTCCGGGCGATCATAAAATTAAGAATGGGATGGTTGCATGTGGACAAACCCGCGGCCCTCCTGGCGGAGGAGTTCTCAGGGGTCATCATCCGCTCCGCGGAGGAAGGCCTAGGGGAGCGTCGCCCTAGGGGTTCTGCGGGGTATGAATGGTGGAATTCTGAACTGGATAAAACTCGGAAGCTGCAATGCAAGCTCAGGCGTGTATGGCAGAGTAAAAGGCGTCTGGGAGGTAGATCAGAGGAGATAGCCAGAACGGCTTTTCATAGCGTGCGTGCGAGATATAGAAAGATGATGGTGGAGGTGCAGCAGTCGCATCACACGAGGGTCGCCAATACTGGCAATGAGGACCCTTGGGGCCTGGCATACAGGTTGGCCAGCGGGAGGGTGCGTCCGCCTGCGAATGTGATCAATGGGATTGCATTCGCGGGTGGGCACCCCGATAGTCTGGGAGCTGCCATGAACAGCTTGATGACTGCGCTCTGTCCGGATGACGACCCTGGCCTTGACAAGCCTTACCACCGGCAGGTTCGAATGCTGGCGGCGTTTATGCCGTCTGGTGGAGCTGCACCTCCACTTGCGGTTGAGGACCTGGGTGGCATAGTCAGGGCCTTGCCCAACACGGCTCCGGGTCTCGATGGAGTGAGTGCGAGAATCATTAGGAATGTTTGGATGGCTGCACCGAGTGAATTCCACTCGGTGTATGCCAAGTGTGTAATAGAGGGAGTTTTCCCTCAGGTATGGAAGGACGGTAGATTGATTGTCATTCCCAAGGGTAATGACAAGCCACTCACTGACGCCAAGGCGTATCGTCCCATAACGCTCCTGCCTGTTTTGGGTAAGTTACTTGAACGCATAATCCTAAGGTGTGCCCCTGTGATTAGTCACGGGATATCCGAGCACCAGCACGGATTTTCTCCGGGGCGATCTACGGTAACAGCGCTGCGAGTATTGCTCAGCACGGCAAAGTATTCTCGGGCATGCTACGTGCAAGCTATCTTTTTGGATATTTCTGGTGCCTTCGACAATGCCTGGTGGCCGATGATGATGGTCAAAGCTAAGAGGGGTGGATGTCCACCTAACATTTATAAAATGTTGGTGGACTACTTCACCTCCAGGCGTGTGGGCCTCTACATCGGGGACCGGGTAGAGTGGAAGACTTCGACCATGGGATGTCCTCAAGGTTCCGTGCTGGGCCCAACACTGTGGAACGTGCTGATGGACGATTTGCTTCGACTCCCTCTGCCTGAGGGAGTTGCCATGACTGCCTATGCCGATGATGTCACAATCTTGGTTGAATCGGAAACGAGAGCAGGTATTGAATCCAGGGCCCGGGTCACTCTGAACCTTGTACGGGAATGGGGGCTAAGGAATCGACTGAAGTTCTCCTCCTCAAAGTTTACCACCATGACTGTTAGAGGGAAACTTCAGCGCCCCCCCGTTATTAAACTTGGTGGGGAATCAATCAAGTCTGTGACTACCGCTAAGGTGCTAGGCGTGGTTTTGGACTCAGGACTATCATTTGTGCAACACGCTTCTGATATCTCTGAAAGAGCGACTAAGGGATTTGGCAAAATGACTCGCGTATCGACATCGTCATGGGGTATGCGATACCCGAGTTTAAAAATTATTTACAGAGGAGTGTTTGTGTCCACGCTCACGTATGCAGCAGAGTGCTGGTACGAGCGGGCGAACATGTACACAGTCCGTAGCGTACTACTGAGATCGCAACGATCTGCACTTGTCTTGCTGACCAAGGCGTACCGGTCCACTAGCACGGCGGCCTTACCGGTGCTGGCTGGCGTCCTCCCTGCTGACCTGGAGGTCATTCGTGCTGGTAGGATGGGTTTGGAACGCTTGACCGCGCCCAGAGAGGAGTTGAGCAGACGAAAGCGCGATATCTGGACTGAGGTGATTGGCGTATGGCAGAATCGATGGAAAAACGAAACGAAAGGACGTGAGTTATATCGATTTTTCCCGGAGGTGGCGGTGAGACTCAGGTATACCTGGGTCTCACCGGACTATCAAACATCCCAGATTCTCACTGGACATGGATGTTTTCGGAAGAGACTGCATGACATGCGACTGTGTGAAACCAGTATGTGTGAGTGTGGTACGGCAGAGGAGGATGTTCACCATGTCCTATGGGAATGTCCTCTGTATGACGATCTAAGAGCGAAAGTGTTGGATGGGCTGGTTCGAACGGTTCAGGGACCGATTTACTACTCGGATCTCGTCAGCGATGGGGTGAACTACGGGCTGTTGCGTGAGTTTGCGCATAGGTGGCACGATCGCAGGAGAAGGCAGGAAAGGATGCTGGTAGGAAGGCCCGACGACGTAGGCGTTGTTGTGCCGTCAGCCCCAGAAGGGGGAGAATGACGTTAAACTGGGACAAGGAACAGAATAAATATTTGTAGGGAGTCAAGAAAGTGCGCGCGGGAAAGAGCAAGGTGCAAGTACCGCGCGCATCTCCCGAGATTAGGCCCGTATGACCTGAGGGTCGGTGGGGCCATGGGAGGTGGTGGGTTCACCCGCGGGGAACAGCAGCGGGTGCAGTAGCGCGGCGCTGACTCCGCGGACGTGTACTCACCCGCGGGGAACAGCAGCGGGTGCAGCAGCGCGGCGCAGACTCCGCGGACGTGTACTCACCCGCGGGGAACAGCAGCGGGTGCAGCAGCGCGGCGCGGACTCCGCGGACGTGTACTCACCCGCGGGTGCAGCAGCGCGGCGCAGTCTCCGCGGACGTGTACTCACCCGCGGGGAACAGCAGCGGGTGCAGCAGCGCGGCGCGGACTCCGCGGACGTGTACTCACCCGCAGGGAACAGCAGCGGGTGCAGCAGCGCGGCGCAGACTCCGCGGACGTGTACTCACCCGCGGGGAACAGCAGCGGGTGCAGCAGCGCGGCGCGGACTCCGCGGCCGTGTACTCACCCGCGGGTGCAGCAGCGCGGCGCAGTCTCCGCGGACGTGTACTCATCCGCGGGGAACAGCAGCGGGTGCAGCAGCGCGGCGCGCACTCCGCGGACGTGTACTCACCCGCGGGGAACAGCAGCGGGTGCAGCAGCGCGGCGCAGACTCCGCGGACGTGTACTCACCCGCGGGGAACAGCAGCGGGTGCAGCAGCGCGGCGCAGACTCCGCGGACGTGTACTCACCCGCGGGTGCAGCAGCGCGGCGCAGTCTCCGCGGACGTGTACTACCCGCGGGGAACACCCGCGGGTGCAGCAGCGCGGCGCAGGCTCCGCGGACGTGTACTCACCCGCGGGGAACAGCAGCGGGTGCAGCAGCGCGGCGCGGACTCCGCGGACGTGTACTCACCCGCGGGGAACAGCAGCGGGTGCAGCAGCGCGGCGCGGACTCCGCGGACGTGTACTCACCCGCAGGGAACAGCAGCGGGTGCAGCAGCGCGAGCGCGGTGAGCGCGCGGCGGTGTCGCGGCGGGGGCAGGGGTGCGCGGGCGCGGGGCGGATCCTGCGCGGCAGCCGCGCGAGCCCGCGCGCCGAGCCACACCACACCGTCTCCTCCCACACCGCCATGCGCGAGCACGTGCGCGCCCACTGTAACTCGTACGCACCCTCTGCACAATACAACCACCTTTTGTTTTAAATTTATTTATACGTTTATGTTATACTCGTATGTATATATGTTAGTATTTAATATATTTTACTATAAATATTATTTATATGTTTTGTGTGTATGTTTGTGTGTATGTGTAGATTTTAAAGAAAAGACATGTCTATAAATATACAAGTACAATATATACGGACAATTAGTGAAAAGATATCTAAAGCTTTGCAGATGCCGATGGCCGATGCAGAGCCCGTATTCGCCTCGATGGCAAACACTTTGAACATTTATTTTGGTTTTAAGAAAAAATAAATGTATTACAATATTTCCTAGTGTTTCATTATTGTTAAATAAATATATAATAATACAACAAAAGGATAAATTTATGATTACAGTACCCACTGTGTACTAGAATGTTGATTTTCAACGTTTTCAAAAGTATATCTCCTCTTCCCCTCGGACCGCGTATGCGTTTAGACGTGTGTTTCTGTGCAAGTTTAAATTTTAAAAATAAATTAATTTAAAGAAATAATTTTTGTTACCAAATTCCGTGCAAGTACCAGGCACTCATAAGGCGTTTAGAAGTTGACGGTGCGTCCGAAACTCCGAGAAACGCAGAGCAACGCAACTGCGACAACTACAGTTTGTCTACGCTACTACGGGTGGGTGCTTATCTATCTTCTTCATTCATAACTGCAGACATCGCACGTACGTCACGAATCTTTAGCTTGCCATAATTCATAAGCGCTAGCGATTACAGTTAAAATTTTGAGGCTTGGTTTAAGGAAAAAAATATATATAGATAATTAAACTTCTATTTGATTTAAAGATTTAAAACGTTGCTATATATTAATTCCATGATGGATAAATCTGTATCAGATACGGAAATTAACGTTTTGTCCACTAATAACAAGACTCCACCTAATTATGTATTTCAACGAACCAAGAGGACTAGAGAAGAAATGGCTGATTCTGTTAGTAATCAGTTGGCTGATTTCAAAGAAGAAATTATAAAAATTATGACACTATTTACAACAAAACAAGAAAATGAATTTCAACGAATTAACTCAACACTGAAAGAAATCCAGCAGACAAATATTAGTATAGAGAGCACGATTGCCTTTTTAGCTACTCAAAATGAAGCGTTTAAAAAGAAAATAGATCAGTTAGAGAACCAGGTGAAGGAGGATAAGAAGTATATCACAATTTTAGAAAATAAAATTGAGGAAATTCAAATGGGAAACCGGAAAAGTAATATTGAAATAAAAATGTTCCAAAGAAAACTAATGAAACAAAAGAAGACCTGATTGATATGGTTGTGAGTATATCACAGAACATTGGTTGTAAGGTTGATAAATTAGATATAAAGAATATATATAGAGTAATGGAAAAAAATCTGAAAAACTAAATACACCGATTGTTGTAGAAACTGGTTCTACGATCCTTAAGACTGAAATCTTAAAAATGGGTAAAGCTTTTAATATAAAAAACAAAAGTAAGCTGTGTGCTAAGCATCTGGGCTTCAAAGTACAGGAAGACATACCCATCTTTTTATCAGAACACCTTACTTTGAAAGGATCTCGTTTGCACTTCCTTGCCAGAGACCTGGTTAAGACTAAAGCATACAAATTCTGCTGGACTGCATATGGCAAAGTATACGTAAGAAAAGACGAATCTTCTCCTATTGTCACCATTAAAAGCGAGGAACAGGTACACCAACTTCTGTTAGAAAAATGACTAACCTTTTTGTTAAATTTTTTCTTACCTAATCTAAAATTAATTCCCTTTATTTTTTATTGATGTTAAAATTCTGTTTAATTATTTCAAAGGTGCTCTATCACTATTTGTTTTTGTCAAAACTAATTAACTTTGCATATGTTACTTACACATCTTGCAGTTACACACACTTTAATAACACTATCATGTATACACTACACACATTAAATACACTATGAAGAAAATACAATGGAAATGATAACTTAGTTCAGCTTAACGACATAAGTATAAATATAACTACTCATATATTAGCAATTCAATCTTACATATTTCGTTCAGTATTAGAGAAGACGACTATAGTAGGTAGGATATTAAGTGAGTGAGACCTTACAAAATATAGGAGAAATAGACAATTTAAATATAGCACGTAATATTGAATGTGATACTTTAGAGTTTGCTACTCATTTCAAAAGAAAACAAAATGACCTCACTATTATCTCACAAAATATAAGAAGTACCTATAATAACTTCAATGACTTTTTAATAACTTTATCTAGCTTCGATTTTAAAATAGATGTAATTATTTTAACTAAATGCAGACTAGATAGTAACAAGCCTATCCCACAACTAACTGATTACCACTCCTAATCTACTACATACCAGCTAAACCAGAATGATGGGGTTACTGTTTATGTAAATACTTCATTAAAAAATAAAATAAAAGAAATAAAACTGGCACAGGCATCTTGTATTCAAGTAGACATATCAAATAATATATTCTTATGTATCTATCGCTCGCCATCAAATACAAATATAGATAATTTTTTAGCTTCTCTTAGTGCACATCTTGAGACAATATCAATGCATAAAAATATAATAATAGCTGGGGACATAAATATCAATATTAGACCTAAAAATATGGAGCCATCGCAAGAATATAAGAATAGAATGAGCTATCTTAACATGTTGGCAGAACTTGAAATACTTCCGGGACATGTGCTACCTACAAGGAACCTCAACTGTTTGGATCACTTTATGCTCAAAACAGTCAGTAAAAAGGATCTGCCTTTCATAGCAATATTACATACCACCATTACAGACCATTTTACTATATTTTTATGCTTATCCAAAATTAAATATAATCAATTTTCAAATAAAACTAAATCTATACTAGACTACGACAAAGCTCGAAAATATCTACAAGAAAGTAATCTGGCTAAGTTATTAGAATGTTATGACCCTAATGTATTAACTGACCTTCTTTTGCATAATATAGCTAATTCTATAAAAAAACAATATTATTACTATTGAAATTCCGAAGAGTAAACGTATCATAAAACCTTGGATTACAACTGGTATTCTTAAGTGCATAAATAATAGAAATAAGTTACAAAAGAATTTAAGAAAAGACCCACACAATGAAATTTTAAAAATAACATACTTAAGATATAGAAATTACTGCAATAATTTAATTAAAAAGCTGAAAAGAAGATATGAAAGAGAACAACTTGCTAAATCAGTTTCAAATAATAAGCTACTCTGGAAAAATATAAAAAAATATAACAAACTCGAACCAATCGAAAAACCAAAACACAGAATTATTAAATACTAAACCCACCCCTACCGAAGCAGCAAATTTTGTTAATGAGTACTTTGTTAACATTGGTAAACAACTTGCTCAACAAATTAAAGATATTGCCTTGCATGACTCATATAACCTTTCTGACACACTGCCTGCACTGGGAAATTCCTTCATGCTCCTTGACACAGATCATGATGAAGTGGATAGAATCTTGATGGGCCTAAAATCTAACAGTGCACCAGGTTGGGATATGATTTCAACAAAGTATTTAAAATTTGTAAGATATGAAGTCGTTCCTATTATAACTAACTTTAACAACCTTTGTTTTAATAAGGAGATATTCCCTACCCTGTTAAAGCCGGTTCACAAGTTCCGGTACACAAGGGTGGAGATAGGACGGAAGTGAATAATTATAGGCCCATATCCATATTACCTAGCATATCAAAAATTTTGGAAAAGCTTATTAATAATCGTTTAGTAAATTTTTTAAATAAATATAATATTTTGTCTCCTTCCCAATTTGGATTTAGAACGCGTAAATCCACAGAAGATGCTGTAACTTCTCTAAGCTCGCTAATAATTGAAGAAATTGATAATAAAAATAAATGTTTAACGGTGTTTCTTGATATCAAAAAAGCCTTTGACACCGTCTCTGTCCCTATCTTATTAAATAAATTGGAAAAGGTTGGTATAAGGGGAGCACCATTAACTCTTTTTAAAAGCTACCTCTCTAATAGGAAGCAGAGAGTAAAGTTGGAACAGTACTTAAGTGAAGATGCAGAAAAAACATACGGAGTTCCACAGGGAAGCGTTTTGGGCCCTACATTATTTCTTGTATATATCAACGACCTTTGTAGCCTAAAAATAAATAACGCAAAAATCTTCTCCTATGCTGATGATACTGCAGTCGCCTTCTCTGGAAATTCCTGGAAAGCTGTGAAAAATAGTGCCGAAAATGGAATGGTTCAAATAGCTACTTGGTTAAAATATAACTTGCTCTCGCTGAACACAAATAAAACTAACTATATATGTTTCAGTATCTACAATAAAAATCAACCTGATGACAGATTTAGTATAAGGGTTCATGATTGTTGTAACACCCAGGATAGTAACTGCAACTGCCCGATCATTAATAAAGTTACCCATACAAAATACCTGGGTGTCAAGTTGGATCAGAGACTGTCCTGGTACCCACAGCTTGAGCAAGTTGCCGGAAGAGTCAGAAAGTAGATTTGGGTCTTTAGATCATTAAGGCATGTGGTTCCAGGTAATAATAAAAAAAATGGTGACCGGGAAACATCAAGAACAATTCTGAATGAGATATATATCGCCTTGGTTCAATCTGTCTTGGAATATTGCATTCCTGTTTGGGGAGGTGCGGCAAAAACTAAGTTTATAGAGGTTGAGAGAGCACAACGTGCGCTTATTAAAATTGTGAACTTCAAAAATATTAGATACCCTACGGAAAGGCTTTATCTCGAGAGTGAGCTACTTTCGGTAAGGAAACTGTATATAAAACAGATCACACTCAATAAACACAAAAATATACCCTAC